AGGATCCAGGAGGAGTAAACTGCCCACGGCTGTTTTGGTTGTTTATTTGAAGAGATGTGTGTGCTTTAATTTATGTGTATGTATGTCCTGCCTGCATGCGTGTGCATGCCTGTGCCAGAGGACCAGAAGACAATGTTAGAACTAGAATTAACCTCCAAGTGCTCGTAAATTGTTAAACCACCTCTCCAGCCCTATTGTTTGACAGATGTAGGTCCCTCCACTCTCAGGCGGTGAATGCGGTATTGCCGCCACCTTGTGGTGAAGGAGTAATCGCAGCGTCAGCTGCACAAGCCAGCATTGTGAAGACGGAGTTGGAATCAACAGCTAGACAGCAAACAACACAGCCTTCCACAGTCCCTAATACTTTATTGGTTTCCTTCCTATAGACCTGTGCCCAGCTGGGTGGGCTCAGGGCAAGAGGTCGCTATTCACCAGATTCCAGGTGGGGAACAAGAAAGCCTTGGCCCACCTCCGGCCCCTCCACAGAACGGGGAGGACGATCTAGTCTTTTCTGGACCAAGAAGGACATCCAGGTAGGGGCAGGATGCAGGATTTCAGGCTCGCTGAGGTTCAGCCATCTTAATTGTGTTTGGAGAAGTATTCCTTGCTGTCATCCACATTGGGCTTGATGGTGTCACTGCCGGGCTTCCAGCCAGCAGGACAGACTAGAAAAACACACAAGGATGAACACGTGAGGCTCAGCTCCGCCATCGAGGTCAGGGACAAACAGGTCAAGCGAGCCTAGGCTGCATGCACGAAGAAGGGCTGGGAGCTAAGGGCCAGGGTTCCAGATTTCATGCAGTCAGAAGCCCTTGCCCCGACAGTTTTCAAGCTGACACTTTTCTGTTCTATTGTCTTGTTTGTTCTGTACATTTTATTTTATTTTTTGGCCTTCACCCTCTTGGCAGCCCTATCTCAGCCCAACTGCTGGGACCACAGACAGGTGTCCACACTCAGATGCATTTTTTAAAAATTTTACCTGCTGAAGGACTGGAGTTTGAGCCCTGCTCCTTTTGTAAACCAGGCAAAAGTTCCACACCTAGCTGTAGTTCAGTCTCTCTCTCTCTCTCTCTGTTTTTTTGTTTTTTTTTGTTTTTTTGAGACAGAGTTTCTCTGTATTGTTTTGGAGGCTGTCCTGGAACTCGCTCTCCTTTAACTGAGATGTGCCTGCCTCTGCCTCCCGAATGCTGGGATTAAAGGCGTGCACCACCAACACCTGATTCAGTCTTCTTTTCTTAAGGGGCCTCTGGCTGCTCTACAACTTTCTCCACAGATCAGGCCTCAAACACGCACTGATCTTCTTCCTCTGCTGCCCCGTGTTTGGACTACAGGCATGTGCCGCCCGCCGCACTTAGCCTTTTTTTATTTTAAAATAGTGTCTCACTCTTTAGCCCAAGCTGGCCTCCTGTTTCAACTCCAAGTGCTGAGATTATAGGCCTGTGTCTCCATGTCCCTCCCCTTCAACTCACTCACTCACTCACTCACTCACTCACTCTATCCGCCTTAACCTTACTGAAACTTTGTAGCTGTGGTCAGGTGTCCCTTCCAGGTGATGAGGCGCTAGGACTGGCCTCGAGGCACAGCTCAGTGAGGGAGCACCGTCTAGCACACATGTGCACAAGTAAGTTTGTAAAGCAGGTATCGTATTTTGTGCCTTTAATCCCAGCACTGAGGAGGTAGAAGCAGCCAGATCTCTGAGTTCAAGGCCAGACGGGTCTACATAGCTAGCTCCAGGCCAACATGAATACATACTGAAAATTTTTTTTTTGTTTTTTTGAGACAGGGTTTCTCTGTGTAACAGTCTTGGCTGTCCTGGAACTCACTGAGATCTACCTGCCCCTGCCTCTCAAGTGCTGGGATTAAAGGCGTACACCACCACTCAGCTTGAGACCCCTTCTTTAAAAAAATTTTTATATATATATCACCCTCCACATATATGGATATATGGAGGAGGTTATTCTAACCCAACTAAGATTAACAACTTGAGACATTTCTTTCTTTTTTGGAGGTAGGTTTTCATGTAGTTTAGACTGGCCCTGAATTCTGATCTCTCTTCTTCAGCTCCTTCCCAAGTACTGGGATTACAGGTAATAAATACCCCATGCCCAGTTTTATTGTCACAGGGATTGAACTCAGGGCCTTGTGAATGCAGCATTCTACCAAAAAAGTCAAATTCCCAGCTTGAAATCCTATAAATAAGCCTGCTAATGCAATATTTTCTTTTACCTGTTGGTTTTGTTGTTGAAGAAAAGGTGTCATTCTATATCATAGGCTGACTTCAATCCTGCCTCAGACCTCCTTCTGCCTCAGTCCTCCAAGATTGGCAAGATCCAGCACCCCTAGCTCAAACACCTTCTGTATACCTGCCAGCTCCCAACCCGTCAGCTCTGTATACCAATCCCTGCCCATCCTAGATACTCCCTGCAGGCAGAGAACTGAATTTTGTATAGGGATTTTTCTTTTTTGGTTTTTTCCAGACAGGGTTTCTCTGTGGCTTTGGAGGCTGTCCTGGAACTCGCTTGGTAGTCCAGGCTGGTCTCGAACTCACAGAGATCCGCCTGCCTCTGCCTCCCGAGTGCTGGGATTAAAGGGGAGCGCCACCAACGCCCGGCTGTATAGGGATTTTTTTTTACGTGTTTGTGTATTTATCTGTGTACCACGTGTGTGGCTGTCACAGGAGGAGACCAGAAGAGAGCATCACATTCCCTGGGACCAGAGTTAAAGATGCTTCTGAACCACCATGTGGCTGCTGGGAATCAAATCCTCATCCTCTGGAAAAGCAGCCAGTGGTGTAAACCATCTCTTCGGCCGTTGTATGGGGCTTCAACACTCATCCCACAACGACGCTAGAACAGTTAATGTCTGCAAGCTGGGCAGGAAGAGGACCTCCCCATCTGTGAATATTCACTCACCTTCCCCATGCTCATCTGTATACTGGAAAGCCTGGACCAGACGAAGAGCCTCATCCACAGAGCGTCCCACCGGGAGGTCATTGACTGTGATCTGACGAAGGACACCCTTGGCGTCGATGATAAAGAGGCCCCTGGAGACATGAGGGCCTATAGTGAGGAGCTCAGAGGCCCCCACTGCCAGGCCAGGCAAGGAAGCACACACCCCCTCCCCCCACTAGCCACAGTGGACCCTTTAGCCTTGAGATGGGGCTGAGGTCCTTGCTCTACCTGTAGGCAATGCCCTCATCAGTTTTCAACACTCCATAATTCTCCGACAAGCTCCTAGTCACATCAGCAAGCAGGGGGATGTTCAGGGGGCCCAAGCCTCCCTCCTTCCGTGGGGTGTTGATCCTGAGTGTGAGAGAAGACAGGGTTAGGATGCCCAGCACAGCAGAATTCTCCCCCATGGGCCTCCAGGGTGATAGGGCTGGAGGGGACTGGAAGCAAGAGATAAAGGATTTAAAACAAGGATGGGAGCCCCACCCGCCCCACCCTGGCGGAGGCAGTGCAGCTGGAAAGAGAATGGTCCAGATAAAGTCTCATCTCTGTGGGCTCCAATAACTAGCAGTAGGGACAACACTTTAGCCAACAGCAGGGCTAGAGCTCAGTGGCAGGGCACTTGCTTTGCCTTTTCAGAGCTAGGGGGTTGACTCCTACTTCTAAAAAAGGGGGGGATGGTTCCCAACACCATCTGGTTCTGCTCTTTACATCAACCCATCACTCTTGAGAACTAGAGTTTCCCATTTCATGAAATAGGGCAAGGCCAGCCTGTCTTCTGAGAACTAAGCCACCAAGCATCTGCCCATTCCTGTACCTTCCAACTAGGTGCCAAACGCTAATTACTGTCATTATTGTAAGGGCTTGGGTGTCATTGTTTCCATTCTTTATAAGATGAAGGACCAGAAGACACAGCTTATCCCCTAGTTTGGGCTTTCCTGCATCTTCTCGGCACAGCTCCCCGGCCCCGCGCAGCCCCATACCACGCCAAGTGGGTGAACTGAGAGTCCACAGACACTCCGAGCACCTCGCAGCCCAGCTTTCGGAAGTCCTCAGCGTGGTTGCTGAAAGCGATGATCTCCGTGGGGCACACAAAAGTAAAGTCCAGCGGGTAGAAAAAGAGGACCACGTACTTCCCTAGGGAAGGAAAAATCGGAAGAAAAGTTAGTTCCAGTCCTTTTCAATGTGGAGCCTACTCCCACCCGGTCCCCCTCCGGGCAGCCTCACCCCTGTAGTCCGAAAGCTTGACTTCCTTGAAGGCGCCGTCCACCACTGCGGTGGCCGTGAAGTCAGGGGCCGGCTTTCCGATGTACGCGTTGCCAGAGGCCATGACTGAAAGCAGAGACCCACGCAAGGCTGGTCAGTGTCGCAAAAGACCCTTTGTCTTACTTTCCCAAGGTCACTCTTGGGGCTGAGCCTAGACACTGAATCCGAGAGGTGGGAGCAGCAGCTCGCATACTCATTCACCCTCCCAGAACAAGGTCTGCAAGGCCTCAGGAGACTCGGCTCCTAAACAGGGCACGAGTGATGGGGTCACCGCTGCCACCCGGGTTATCCAGTCAGCCCAAGCGCGGGGGAAGGGACGCGAGCCCTCCGTTTCAGAATGGGATGGCGAGGCAAAGAGCGAGGAGCTGTGAGCTCGGCGACACGGCCTGCAAGCCAGGGCTCCGACCTTGGTTCCCCCCCATCCCCCTCACCCCCACCCCCACCTGCCGCAAGGACAAAGGCGGCCACCATTGAGCACGGAAAACAAAGACCGCCAGCAAGGAGGTCTTGATAGGGCCAGACCCGCTCTAGTGGGGCACCTCCCATTCGTGTGCATCCTGAGTTTCCATACCTGCGTGGGCAAGAGCCGGACACGCGGACGACAGGACACAAAGCACAGAGATCTCAAAGCCAAGAGAGCCCCAGGCCCGCGAGCTTTTTATGTGCGGCCCAAACCACACCAAGCAGGACAGGGGGGAGGTGGGCGGGACAGCTCCGGCGGTAGGATCCACTGCGCCTGCAGAGGGGGAGCGCGCTGACGGGTTCACGCGCTTGCCCAGGGATGGGTAGGGTGTGCCTTTGAGGACGCTGGGATTGTCAGGACTGTGGGAGCCGCGCGGGCCTGGTCCCCCGGGGCGCGTTGGGGTCGGTTGGAGTCCGGGCATGGCCCGGAGCCGGCTGGCTCTGTTGCTGCCACCTCTAGTGCTCCTGGGTCTGGTGTCCCCTACTCAGATCAACCCAGACTACCAGTATTTTGGCCAGCAGGGCAAAGGTGACACCTGGGAGCTGCTGAGGCTGCAGCGGAAAAAGGGTAAATTTAGCAAGTGGTGGGAGTGAGGATTTGAAAAGGTGCCCCCAAAGGTCTCTCTTAGCCAGCTGACTACAAACAGACCCTCCTGTGTCGACTCTGTCCACCTCAGCACAGGCTGTGTCCTTTGGGACTGGCCACTTTTCTCTGAGTGTGTTGGTTTCTTATCTGTGAGTTGTTTTTGTTTTGTTTTCTTTCACTTTACTGAAAATTTTGCTCTGCAGCTTCCTTGGTCATCTGCTAATTGTAATAGGCACTTACATTTGGCACTATTCAGGAGGCAATAAACAACCTATGAACATCGTGTTAGGAAGGGTGGAGACAGCTTGAGATGTCAGGAAAGGTGAAGACGGGAGTAACCAACACAGCCAGAACGATTAGCAGAGTCAAAATTACAAAGACTGAGTGACAGTGTCCCAGGAAGAGGGAATAAGTGCAGGGGTCAAAGGCCTAAGGGGATGATGGGAAGCTGAGTGTCCTTTGGCTAAGATGTGATGAGGAATGAAGGCTATGAGGCACCACCCTGTGTGAGCTCTGATAAGGGCTGCGTTGCACTAGCAGCTAGAGCAGCTGATGGAGCCCTGACCCAGTTGTGCAAGGAAGTCGCATTCCTTCCCCAAAACTGCCTAAGCAGTACACCTTGCAGTCCTAGCGTTTGGGAGCTGGAGTCAGGGGAACTGAAGTTCAGAGTCGGCTGTGGCTACCAAAGGAATCAGAGGCCAGCTTGGGGTACACAAGAGTCTAGTTTTTAAAAAAAAAGGAAAAAAGGAAGGAAGGAAAGGAAAAGAGTTCTGTAAAGATGTAGGTCAGGGGTGGTGGAGCACTTGACCAGAGTGTGTGAGGCCCTGGGCTAAATCTTATCTTTAGCACTATACTGGGAAAAAAAAGTTAAGCATAAAAATTACTTTGTTGCTACAAGTTAGCTCAGCACCCAGGGCTTTAAGTAAATTCATTGTGTCAATTATATAGTTTATCTTAGCGTGTGTGTGTGTGTGTGTGTGTGTGTGTGTGTGTGTGTGTGTGTGCGCGCGCACGCGTGCGCTCGTGTTAGTCCTGACAGGTGGAAGTGGGCAAGAGTCAGCTTTGAATGTCAGATGTGAAGGACAGTGTCCATACTCACAGCTGAGCAGGCTGGCACACGTTAGAGGTGTCAGTTTGCAGCTGTGGGCAGCTCACATATGTCAACTTGACAGAATGGTTTGCTTTCCCTAGATCACCCCCACACAGAGGCAGCAAAGTCTCCTAGCACCAACTGATACTATGTTTGTTGTCTCTGTCCCTCCTTGGACAAGTCCCCTGTATGGGAGTTAATTATCCCAATTGGGTTTCCATGTCCACCCTTCATCCCTAGTAGTGGAAGAATCAGTCCTAGGCCCGTGGGGAAAGTGGCGTTGTTTCTGCGATCTGGGCAAACAGGAACGCAGCCGTCAGGTGCTGGGTACAGCACCAGTCCCCGTGTTCATGGACCAAGAGAACCTGGTACAGCTGAGGCCCTGCCGGCCACAGGATTGCTCATCTTGCAAACCAATGGACTGTGACTGGAGGGTCTGAGCAGAGGTGAGCGAAAGAGGAGGCACAGAAAACCAGTGAACTAACTGGCAGATCCAGTAGTAGGCAGGGAGGTAAGAAGAAGTAGGAGCCTTTGTGAAAGCTTGGGAATAATCAGGAAACGTTGGTGGGAGAGAGCCATGTTGGTGGTGCACCTGTGATTCAGGTACTCAAGACAGAGGCAGGAGGATCAAAAATTCAAGATCGACATAGCAAGGTCAGGCCATTTAAGGCTACATGAAACCCTGTCCTCAAAACAAAGAAAGAAAGAAAGAAAGAAAGAAAGAAAGAAAGAAAGAAAGGGTTGAAGAGAAGATGGTGGCACCAGAGGCACATGGTCAAGGAGCTGGGATTCAGAGGACGACGGACCGTGGCTTTGAAGAGAAACAAGACTCCACGCAAAAGAACATGTGTCCCATCGAAGAAGAGAACAATAGAGCAGTGTGGTTGGAGCAGCAGAGGGGTCTGGGAGATGTGGGGAGAGCAGGAGGGGAATGAGGCAAGGGAAGGAAGGAAGAGGCCTGCATGGTGTGTGCAGACCCTAATGGGAATCTGCTGGGACCTGGAGAATAAGGGTGGTATAGAAGAGTTTGTTTTAATAAGACGGGATTGTGGAACAGGGTCTGGAGGCGGCAGGCCCAAGCCCTGTTGAATCTGTGACACCTAGTACTAGAAGCATAAATTATCAGCCAGGGAGACACAGTTAATTGCTGGCAAAAAAAAAAAAAAAAAAAAAAAAGTGAGCCGGGCGTTGGTGGCGCACGCCTTTAATCCCAGCACTCGGAAGGCAGAGGCAGGCGGATCTCTGTGAGTTCGAGGCCAGCCTGGTCTACAGAGCGAGTTCCAGGACAGCCTCCAAAGCCACAGAGAAACCCTGTCTCGAAAAACCAAAAAAAAAAAAAAAAAAGTGTGAAGAAACAGATGTGTGGTACAAACCTGGATAGCAGGTGGGAGATCAGGACCCAGTGAGACCAAACCAAGAATGCAATATTTGATCTTTTGTTATTTTGTTTGGTTTGTTTTTATTATTTTTAAAGATTTATTTATTATGTATACCATGTTCTATCTGCATGTATCCCTGCAGGTCAGAAGAGGGTACCCAATCTCATTTCAGAGGATTGTGAGCCATTATGTGGTTGATGGGAATTGAACTCAGGACCTCTGGTAGAGCAGCCAGTGCTTTTACCGCTGGCTGGGCCATCTCTCCAGCCCCTGGTTTGTTTTTCAAAACAAGGTTTCTCTGTGTAGCTATAGCTGTCCTGAACTTGCTCTGTAGACCAGGCTGGTCTCAAACCCAAACCCAGAGATCCACCTGTCTCTGCCTCCCGAATGCTGGGATTAAAGGCGTGCACCATCACCACTCGTCTGATATTTGATCTATTGAAATTTTAAAAAATCAAACTGAGTGTGGGCTGGTGATCCCACCATCAGGGAGGTGGAGGCGAGAGGGTATGAGTAAAAGGTCACACTAGGCCACATAATGACTTTGAGGGAGCCTGGGTGTTAAGCGAAACGATCTCAAACAAAAGGCAGTCAGCTAAACGGCGTCTTAATTTCCTCTTTATTTCTCTTTACACATCAGTCACTGAGGGACTGGCTCCAGCAGCAACGGGGCGGAGCTTGCAAAGCGACCCCGCCCACCCTCGACTACAAAGTACACCTTTAGTGGTAGCTCTCGACGACTACAATTCCCAGAAGGCACCGCAGCGGCGACAGCGGCGCCTGCGTAAACGACCGCGACGGCGGGTCCTGCGCGCTGATTGGTCAGCATCGAGAGCGGCAACTGTACTCGCGGAAAACGCGCGCTGGGACCTGCGCCTGCAGTATTGTTTTCTGCAGCTGTTGGCTGTCGCTGAGGCAGCATGGATCTCAGAGAGCTGGAGAAGGACAATACGGGCCGCTGTCGCCTGAGCTCTCCTGTACCCGCCGTGTGCCTCAAGGAGCCGTGCGTCCTGGGCGTGGATGAAGCGGGCCGGGGCCCGGTGCTTGGTGCGTCCCTAGGGTCGCAGGCCGGGAAGCGCCTGGTGAAAGGGGTGTAGGTTCCAGGGAGATGTGAGTGGAGATCAAGCACGGTCTTGGGACCCGGGAGCGATAGTGAAATGTCCTTGGGCCGTGGTGGTGATGGAACAAGGCGGGCGGCTTTTAGGTGCTCACTGCTCGGAACCCTGCTCTCAGAATGTGACTTCCCTCCCAAGGCCCCATGGTCTACGCCGTCTGTTACTGCCCCCTGTCCCGCTTGGCAGATCTGGAGGCCCTGAAAGTGGCAGGTGAGCCTCTGCTGAACGTCTACACTTCGGGTTCCGGGCTGTGTGCAGGAGGGCGGGTGAGGCGGAGGAAGCAGGAGCCGAAAGCACGAGCGAACTCCTCCCCTTTTCTCCAACTTTTTCCCAGACTCAAAGACCTTGACAGAAAATGAACGGGAGAGGCTGTTTGCGAAAATGGAGGAAGAAGGAGACTCTGTGGGTTGGGCTTTGGACATTCTGTCTCCAAACCTGATCTCTACCAGCATGCTTGGGCGGTGAGGGGCCCCAGCGTGCGTGGGGAAGAGCATCCAACACATTTGGCAGGGTTCTGCATCGGGAATGGTGTTGACTAAGTTCTGTCCCTAACCACAGGGTCAAGTACAACCTCAACTCCCTGTCCCATGATACAGCTGCGGGGCTGATACGGCATGCGCTGGATCAGGGTGTGAAAGTCACCCAGGTGAGCTGTTGGGTCGAAGCCCTTGGTCACCTTCTGATTAAAGGGGGCTTAGAAAATTGAAACTGGGGATGTAGTTTGTTTGCCTAGCATGCATGAAGTCCTGGCTTCCATCCCAGCATTGCACAAAGCCAGAGTAGTAGCACAGGAAGTGGAGGCAGGAAGCTCTAAGGGCACTCTGAGCTGCAGAGTGAGTTGATCAGCCTGGACTACCTGCAACCCTGTTTTGTTGTTGTGTTAATAAGGCTGGACATAGTAGAGGGAGGGGAATTGTGACTTCAGGGTGTATATGGACACCCTCTATGGCTTAGTTGGTCAGTGCCTGTTGCAAAAGCATGAGTATGAAGCCCATGGTGGCATACCTTTTATCTCAGCACTCAGGAGGCAGAGGCAAGCAGATCTCTTGAGTTCCAGGACACCCATCCACAGTAGGACCCTGTCTAAAACAATTGTGAGGACCTTCCTTTAGATCCTTAGCACCCACTGTAAAGCCAGACACAGTGACACAAACCTGTCATCCCAGTGCTGGGACAAGGGAAGATCTTGGAGTCTTGCTGGCTAGCCAATCTAGGTGAATTGGTGAACTCCAGGTTTAGTGAGAGATTTCCCCTCCCAAAAAAGCAAATAAACCAATAAATAAAAATGTACATGTATGCCTAGCGGTGGTGGCGCACGCCTTTAACCCCAGTACTGAAGGCAGAGGCAGGTGGATCTCTGTGAGTTTGAGACCAGCTTGGCCTATAAGAACTAGTTCCAGGACAGCCTCCAAAGCCACAGAGAAACCCTGTCTCAAGAAACCAAACCAAATGCCCAAAAACATTTCTTTTGTTTGTGGTCCGTGTGTGAGTGCTGATGTACATACCATGGCATGCATGAGGAGTCCAGATAACGGCAGAGTCAGCTTTCTCTTGTCACCTTCATGGGGACTGAGGCTCTAACTAAGGTTAGTATGGAGTGCCAGGGTCTGTACCTGCTACCCCACTTTCCTGTCCCTTGAGTTTTACAGTAAGTAAGAAACCAATGGGCTGGAGAGATGTTTCAGCAGTTGAAGAGCACTGTTTGCTCTTTAGAGGATCCAGGTTCAATTCCCAGCACCTGAATGGGGGCTTACAACTGCCTGACTCCATTTCCAGGGGATCTGGCCTCTTCAGGGACCAGGCTCACGTGGTACACAGACACACATGCAGCCAAAACACCCACACACATAAGATTAAACAGTATTGGGCTGGTAGCTTAGTTTGGTAGTATTTGTGTAGCATGTGTGCCATCCCTGGTTCTGTCCTCAGTAGAATAGGGGACTGCATGTTTTTTTGTTTTGTTTTGTTTTTTGTTTTTTGTTTTTTTGTTTTTTTTTTTTTTGAGACAGGGTTTCTCTGTATTGTTTTCGAGGCTGTCGGTCCAGCCTGGCCTCGAACTCACAGAGATCCGCCTGCCTCTGCCTCCCGAGTGCTGGGATTAAAGGCGTGCGCCACCACCGCCCGGCGTCTGCATGTTTTATAGTTGTTTTTCCTGCTGCTGTTAAATATGAGTCCATTTCTTTTTCCGTGTTCTTGTCGCCACGGCAGGTATTTGTGGACACTGTAGGAATGCCAGAGACATACCAGGCTCGATTGCAACAGCGCTTCCCAGGGATGGAGGTGACAGTCAGGGCCAAAGCAGACTCGTTGTTCCCTGTGGTCAGTGCTGCAAGCATCTTTGCTAAGGTTGGCACCCTGATGGCCGGGGCCCATTCCCAGCATCTGTCTTGTGTAGGGACAGGCAAGATTCCTGAGGAAGGAGACACTGACACTGTCTTGCCTGCAGGTGGCTCGAGACCAGGCTGTGAAGAACTGGCAGTTTGTGGAGAGCTTACAGGATCTGGATTCTGATTATGGCTCTGGCTATCCCAATGGTGAGCTGAAGGCATTCTTTTCACTAAGTTTTAAAAAATCCTTCATAATGCTCTGGAGGCAGAGGCAGGAGGATCCCTGTGAGTTTGGGACCATCCTGGTCGACATGAGCTTCATAATAGCTATGGCTAGATAGAGACTCTGCCTAAAAAGACAGATAGAAGAAACTTCTGTTTGATATGTATGGGTGTTTTGCCAGAGTGTCTGTCTGTTCGCCGTGCGTGTGTCGGTGCCACAAAGCACATGGTACACATACGTAAAACCAAAGGAAATATTTCCAGAAAACAAAATGAGGTCTGAAGAGATGCTTCAGAGACTAAGAGCTGCTCTAGAGGACCAGGTTCAGTTCCCAGCACCCACATTGGACAGCTCACAACTGTCAGTAACTCCAGCTTCAGGGGACCCAGTGGCCTCTAAGGGTACCTGAACTCACATGCACACAGAGACACACATGCATACACCTTAAAATAAATATTAAAAAACTAGAAAGGAAAACAAGAATATAAAACCAGTGGTGGTAGCTTTGTATACCTTTAATCCTTGGTCTACAAAGCGAGTTCCTTAACAGCCAGGATTACACAGAGAAACCCTGTCTCAAAACCAAAACAACAAAAATGGAAGGAGTGTGTGCCACAGATTCATTTCCTATTCTTTCCATACTGAAACTGCAGTCCCCTCCATTATGGAAAGGAATGCTCACACACATCTGCTCCACGAAAGAGTTAGGCTAGGCAACAGTAGTGCTTTCTTATTCCTGAAGCAGGAACGGGAGGATTGAAAGTTTGGAGCTAACCTGGGCAACATAGCAAGACCTTGTTACAAACAAACAAACAAACAAAAAAATCAATTTAATGACTGTTGTACTTATTTCAGAAATACCCCCAAAACAACTTTTTGTTGTTGTTGTTTTGTTTTTGAAACAGGATTTCTCTGTGTAACTCTAAATCAGGTTGGCCTCAAAGTCACATAGATCCACCTGTCTCTGCCTCCCAGGTGCAGGGAGTAAAGGTGTGAGCCACCACCGCCTGACCTCCCCAAACTCCTTAGGCACAGGGTGAGACACACCTGCCTGTACAAAGGACAAGGGACAGAGGGGTGCTTACGATGGTGGAGGCTGTCCTGACAATCACTTAGGACAGTGGAGGCTGTCCTGACACTCACTCAGGACAGTGGAGGCTGTCCTGACACTCACTCAGGACAGTGGAGGCTGTCCTGACACTCACTTAGGACAGTGGAGGCTGTCCTGACACTCACTCAGGACAGTGGAGGCTGTCCTGACACTTGCATATCCAAAGAGACACGCCCTTAATCCCAGCACTGGGGAGGCAGAGGCAGGCGGGTGGCCAGCCTGATCTACAAGAAAGCAAAGAAGCTGAGGATGAGGGTGGCATGTCACCATCACCTTTCTCTCCCCAGATCCCAAGACGAAAGCCTGGCTGAGGAAACATGTGGACCCCGTGTTTGGCTTTCCCCAGTTTGTCCGGTTCAGCTGGAGCACAGCTCAAGCCATCCTAGAAAAGGAGGCAGAAGATGTCACGTGGTTCGTGACTGAGGGAGTTGAGGGGGCAGAAGAGGGGAGGGAGGCCATGGTTTGTTCCCTCAACCCCATGGAAAGTGGCCAGTGTCATTTCTTTCCTCCATAGGGAGGACTCTGCTGAGGAGGATCCAGAGGGGCCTGGAAGGATCACATCCTACTTCCTTAGCCAGGGCCCTCAGGCCGGCCGCCCGCAGGCCCCCCACAGGTACTTCCAGGAGCGAGGCCTGGAGGCAGCCAGCAGCCTCTAGAGGCAAATGTGTGTACCCACCCCTTCTGACTCAGTAATTAAAACTGCTCAAGGAGAGAAAACGGTGTGCTCTGTGGCTCGCTGCTGACTCAGCATCAAAGAATAGACGATTCTAGATGGGTGCAGTCTGATAACTTTTTTTTAAAGCAAAGTTTCACTGTGTAGCCCTAGTTCGTTAGAACCATCTTGTAGACCAGACTGGCCTTGAACTCACAGAGATCCACCTGCCTCTGCCTTCTAAGTGCTGAGATTAAAGGCATGCATCACCATGCCTACCTTTTGTTTTTAAGATTTTAAAATTGTTTTTATGTATGTGTATGTGTGCGTGGGTATACAAACACAGGATATGCACACAGGAATGTAGGTGCCCTTGAAGTCTGTAGGCTTCAGATTCCCCAGAGCTGGAGTCAGAGGCAGTTATGGCCAGCTCTGAGTGGGTGCTACATGCTCTGACCACTTTGCTAGCCCATATCTTTTGAGACCATCTCTCCACACAGCCCTTAGCCGTGGCTGTCCTGGAACTTACCATATAGACCAGGCTGTCCTTGAACTCCCAGACATCCACCTGCTCTCCTCTGGAGTGCTGGGATTAAAGGTGTACTCTACCATGATTGGCCCATCTTTAAATTTTGGGGTTTTTTTTATTTCATACTTTTTAATGTTTTTTTATTTACCTTTATTTTTATTTGCATTGATGTGAAGGTGTCTGATCCCCTGGAACTGGAGTTACAGACAGTTGTGAGCTGCCATGTGGGTGCTGGGAACTGAACCTGGGTCCTCTGGAAGAGCAGCCAGTGCTCTTAATCACCAAGCCATCTTTCCAGCCCTTGTTTTTTTTTTTTTTTTTTTTTTTTCAAGACATGATTTCTCTATGTAGCCCAGGCTCTCCTAGAACTCAAATTTGTAGACCAAGCTGGCCTTAAACTCACAGAGGTCCACATTTCTCTTGTCTTCTGAGTGATGGAATTAAAGGTGTTGTTAGGCAGTGGTGGTGGTGCCTTTAATCCCACTTGGGAGGCAGAGGTGGGTGGATCTCTGTGAGTTTGAGGCCAGCCTGGTCTAGAATGAGCTCTAGGATAGTTAGGACTACATAGAGAAACCCTGTCTCATGAAGAAATAAAAAAGGTATATATAATATATGTGAGTGTTCCAAATGTCTGTCTCTGCACCACATACATGCAATGCTTAATGACACCAGAAGAGGGCACCAAGTCACCTGCAAGTGGAGTTAGAAATGGTTTTTTGTGGGCTTGGGAATCAGGTCCTCTGTGAGAGCATCAGCTCTGTTTACAGCAGTCATCTCTTCATTTTGTGCTGTTGTGGTGACACACACCTTTAATCCCAGCATTTGGGAGTCAGGTAGGTAGATCTCTGAGCTAGAAGCCAGGTCTACATAGTTCCAGGTCAATCAAGCTACATAATGAGACCCTGACTCAAAGCCAAAAATCACCTTATTACATCTGTTTATTTATTTGGGGGAAAGGGAGCATGAGTGCCACTGCAAATGTGGAGGTCAGGAGACAGCTTCGGGAGTGAAGTTACTACCGTGACTTGGGACTTGGTTGTTTTACTACTGTGACTTTGGGATAGAAAGTAGGTCATCAGAGCTGGCCCGCTGTGTCATTTTACTCATCTCTCTGCTCTCCCCTTTCTTTCCCCTCTGACATGATCATTTTTGGCAGTTCGCACCAACTATTTCACCAAGCAGCAGCCACGTCGTATGGCATGATGTAGGTGGTGACTTTACTCTGGGGAAGAGCAAAGTGAGTGTTGGCCATTTCTAGGATAATGGATAGAAAGACCTGTCTAGGCAACCCTGGGGTGTGGCTCGGGAGGGAGGGGGATGTGACTCCGGGTGGCTTTTTGCTCCTGAGAAGGTCCACTTGCTCCCTTCTCAGAGAAGGGACACTTATTAAAAGCCAAACATCTACTCGGGGCTGTCGCTGTCGCCGCTGCCGCTGCCCCCACTGCCACTGCCTGCAGCGTTGGGGATCCAGGCACGAGAGCGGCGGGCGCGTGGAGAGGAGATGGAGACATTGAGACAGTGACGTGACCCAGGAGCTGCCACCGGAGCTTGGCCCAGAGCCATGCGACACAGGTCTTCAGCATTAGTGAAGGTCTAGGAGAAAGGGTGGTGTCAGGGTCTGAGAGGGTAGAACCTGAGGCCCTGGGGCGGGTCTTCTGGCCTGGGGCGTGGCCTGGACGATGGGAGGGTCTGCTTGTTCCTTTGAGGGACTGGTTGGTCTCTGGAGGGGCCAGAGCCAGGGAGGGGGCAACAGGTTTCCTGAGCCTGCTGAGAACCCAGAGCAAAGACAATCACTTGGAAGGAGAGTCTGGAGTCAGCGGGCTCTTGGGACCCTACCGGCACATCCCACACCCAGGCTGGGTTTGTGGGAAGAGTGGAGCATGAGCCTAGGGGCTAGGTACAGTAAGATGGGTTAAGATACAGCTAAGCTGGAATGTAAAAAATAAGTGAATGAAAAAATGTTAGGGGGACTGGAGAGATGGCTCAGTGGTTAAGAGCACTGGCTGCTCTTGCAGAGGTCTTGAGTTCAATTCCTGGCAACCACATGGTGGCTCACAACCACCTTGAAGGAGGTCTGGTGCCCTCTGCTGGCCTACAGAGCACATGCAGACAGAAGACTGTATACGTAATAAATAAAATCTTAAAAAAAAAAAGAAAGAAGCCGGGCGGTGGTGGTGCACGCCTGTAATCCCAGCACTCAGGAGGCAGAGGCAGGCGTATCTCTGTGAGTTCGAGGCCGGGCTGGACCGATAGCCTCCAAAACAATACAGAGAAACCCTGTCTCCTAAAAACTAAAAAAAAAAAAAAAAAGATTGGGCATCATTCCAAACCTTAAAAAAATGTTAGAAACAAAAGATAGGACTGAGCACTTGACTAGAGAGAAGGTACAGTCGGTAAGAGCTTTGGCTCCTCTTACAGAGGACCCAGGTTAGATTTACAGCACCCACATGGTAGTTCACGACCATAATTCCAATTCTAGGGGAGTCCACATCCTGTGCTGACCTTTTCTGGGTACATAGGTGGTACATATACAGGCAGGCAAAACACTCATACACAAAATAGAAACAAGTCTTTAAAAAACAGATTGGCGCCGGGCGTTGGTGGCGCACGCCTTTAATCCCAGCACTCGGAAGGCAGAGGCAGGCGGATCTCTGTGAGTTCGAGACCAGCCTGGACTACCAAGCGAGTTCCAGGACAGCCTCCAAAGCCACAGAGAAACCCTGTCTCGAAAAAACCAAAAAAAAAAAAAAAACAGATTGGCTGAGCAGTGGTGGGATCGCCTTTAATCCTAGCACTCTGGAGGCAGAGGCAGGTGGATCTCTGAGTTCAAGACCAGCCTGGTCTACAAGAACTAATTCTAGGACAGACTCCAAAACAATACAGAGAAACCCTGTCTCAAAACACACCCCCAAAAAAGAAAAAGATTGGCTGTCAAAGTAGAGACAGAGGCAGGTGGATCTCCAAGAATTTAAGGTCAGCCTGGTCTACATAGTTTCAGCATAAGAGTTATGCAGAAAGTTCCTATCTTGCCCGTCGGTGGTGGCACATGCCTTTAATGCCACTACTCGGGAGGCAGTACCAGGCAGATCTCTAAGTTGGAGGCTAGCCCGGTCTACTGAATGGATTCCAGGACAGCCTCCAAAAGCTCAAAAAACCTTTACAAAGAAAGTGTGTAATTAGTTAAAAGGCACCAGGAATCTGGGTGTTGGAACATGTCAGTACTCCAGACCATAGTGTAGAGCTCATTTGTCCCCGCAACCTCTGTTCCTCACCTGCCCAAAGGTGCGGCAGCTGGCCTCACAGCCTCTCTTCACAGAGGGCTGCAGCCAAGTCAGGCCACAGGTGAAGTCTGCTTCACAGGCGGTAAACCTGGGTGTGTGAGAAAGGAAGATTGTTAGAGCTTTGGAGGCAGTTGGCGTCTAAAGATGCTCGTCCTGCTCTCAGACCACAGCCTAACTGAAGGCCACACTCCTTCAAAAGCCCAACCCAACCTTTGCAGGGCTCACTTCTTCCCAGATCTGCCCGCCTGCCCACCTGCCCGCCTGCCTGCCTGCCCACCTGCCTGCCTGCCCACCTGCCCGTCCACCTACCTACCTACCTACCTATCTATCTAATCTATTGTGATGCAGGGTCTAAAGGGAGGCTAGAAGCCATTTTGTGTCTAAGGATGACCTTGAACCCTGGTCCTCTTTCCCAAGTACTGGTATTATAGGCCACCAACACCACCACAGTGGCCACTTCCTTCCCCTTTCAATTTTTTATTTTAAGCTGGGTGGTGGTGGCACATGCTTTTAATCCCAGCATTTGGGAGACAGAAGCAGGTGGATCTCGTGAGTTCAAGGCCAGTCTGGTCGACTGAGTGAATTCTGGAACAGAAAAACCCTGTCTCAGAAAGACAAAAAAAAAGTTATTTTAAATTTATTTTGGTTTTTCAAGGCAGGCTTTCTCTGTGTAGCCCTGGCTGGCCTGTAACTAGCTCTATGGACCAGGCTGGCCTTGAACTCACAGAGATTCACCTGCCTCTGCCTCCCGAGTGCTGGAATTAAAGGTGTGTGCCACCACCAGCACGTTTAAAATTATTTTTAAGTTATGTTTGTCTATCTTGCATGCACACACTAGTGCTGGTGTCAGGGGAGTTCCCAAAGACATCAGATCTGGAGCTGGAATTACACGCAGCTGTGAATTTGGGTGTCGGGTCCTCTGAAAAAGCAGTAAGCCCTCTTAACCACTGAGCCATCTCTAGCCGGGACAACCTATTTGTGATCAGCTCCTTAGGTTCCCTCCTCTAAGATTAGAAGCTGGAACCTTTGAAACTTCCTGGCCCACCAGAACCGCGCTTCCATGCCGTCTTCCATGCTGTCATTCTCGGGCGCCTACCCCTTCTACCTCGCTAGTACACACTAGATGGCTCCTCAGAGACTAACCCTGGCTCTGTAGGGCCAAACTACGGTTCTCGGCCATGCCCTTACCTTAGGGCACGCCCCTGCTCCCGCCTCCCTTACCAAATTTGGCAGAGCTCCGGGCAGAGAGGCTGCACTCCCAGCAGCAGAGGGTGGAAGCGATTGCGGAGGGCACGTTGAAGGTGTCCCAGGAAGAATTCACATCTGGATGTGCAAGAGACCAGGCAGATGGGGCACAATCCTCAGGGAGACTTATGGGGCTGACCCCAGGCGAGGGCAAATAGGGCAAAGATCGGGGGACAGGCTAGAGGGCGCAGTACTCACTCTGGGCTTGGAGCACCACAGCTCTCTAGAAGGATCCCTGGGCGTGGTGCCTCTGGTCTGTCTTTCTCTGGGGTGCAGCAAGGTTCTGGCACTGGTGATGTCTGTGAATCAGGATCTTGGATCCTTGGGTAAGGCTGAGGGCGCCCTGATAACAGAAATTTTATCAGCCATCGGAAAGAGGAAAGCCTTAAAGAGATTTCTCTTGAGTTGAATGAACTGGCATGGATCTGTAATCACAGACACTTGGAGCCTGAAGGGAGGGGGGCAACTTAGAGGGCTTTATATTCATAAAAACAAACCAATCATGTGAAGGGCTGCTAGGTTCAATTCCCACGACTGCAGAATTTTTTGTGTGTGAAATGTAGCTTCAAGCAGTAATAACTATATCACCCGTATCGATCCGGTTATATCTGTCCGTGTTTCTAAATGGTGGCATAGTGTTTATATGCTAAATATCCACAACAATTGTATGTTAGGTCTGTGATTTCTCTTGTGTCTATTTGGTTTTTATTTTTTGGGGATTGGACCTAGGGCACTACCCATGTTAGGCACACATTCTACTAATTATATTTAACTTATTGTTGTGTGAGACTGCTCACTGCCACAGTGTGTGTGTGTGTGTGAGAGAGAGAGAGAGAGACTGATCACGTGCCACAGTGTGTGTGTGTGTGTGTGTCTGTGTGTGTGTGTGAGTCAGAGGACAAGTCACAGGAGTTGATTTCTCTCCTTTCACCATGTGGGTTCCAGGACCCTGACCGGTTGCTGAGCTTGGTGACAGTCATTTTTACCCACTGAGCCCTCTTATCAGCCCTATTGACTTATTCTGAGACAGTTTCATGTCGTCCAGCCTGACCCCCAGCTCCATGTGTAACTAAGGCTGGCCTTGAAATCCTAATCCTCCTCCATCCACCTTCTGGGTGCTGGGATTACAGGTGAGCATCACCACGCATAACTCTCTGCCCAGGTCAGCTGACTTGCTCAAGGTCACAGAGCACCAAGTGTGGGTTTGGCATTGGAACCAAGCAGTCTGGAACTCTGAGTCTAGGCTGCTAACCAGCATTCTTCATCACTAGCCTTGGCCACCGACTCTCTTACAAAGAAGGTCTGAGTGGGGTTTCTGGGCGTTAGGAATTAGACAGGATGCTCACCTGCTAGGTGCAGCTGGCTAGTGCCCACATCAGCTGCCAGCCCAGGGTGTCCCCAGGACCTAGCTTGCAGCGGGTGACTCCCTCCACGGGTCACCAAGAAGAAACATGCCAGGATCAGTCGCCGGGCCCAGTCCGGGATGCTGGGTTGAAAGTGGCCTTTGTGGGCCATGTCCGCCTGAGACAAGAACCAGCTGATTCGGAGCGACGAGGAGTGAGTGTCCTGGAGGCTCAGGTTGGCACTGATGGGTACTAGGAGCTCAGAGGACTGGCAATGGCGAGGGCTCTGAACCCTAGGGGAGTCTCATCCAAGAGCCCCTCCCAGCAGACACATTCCTTCCATTCCTCCAGGCCCAAACACCACCCCAGCTTACACCACACGTGAACAATCTCACCCTAATTTGCCCTCTGATACTGCTGTCAGAGTAACAGGACCACCTCAGCTCTTCCCGGGCCCTCTTCCACCCTGGCTTCTCTCTCCAGCCCAGCCCGCTTCTCACGCCTTTCACAATAACCTTCTCTCGGCTCACAATCGGCTTAGGAGCTTCCACCAGGGTGGGGGGCTGGGGTTCTGCCAATAGGTACCAAAAGCTTCTGGACAGAGGAAAGCAAGGATATGAGAGACAAGATTCCCACCTCCCTACTCCCTGTCACTCACCTGTTAGCAGGCTGGAGTACAGGGGCTGCTGAGACACTCAGAACCACAGAACGAGACCAGCAAACAGCGGCAACTGAGAGGGGTGTGGTTTGGCTGGGGCGGAGCTTTCCAAAGCCCCACCCCCACAAACCAGGAGCTCTTGGGACTGGTGAATTTATTGCCGTGTGTTAAACTTGGGATTTAAGTTCTCTGTCTGTCTCTCTCTGTTTTCTTTCCTTTTTTTTTTTTCTTGTTTGTTTTTCGAGACAGGGTTTCTCTGTATTGTTTTGGAGGCTGTCCTGGAACTCACTCTGTAGACCGGGCTGGCCTCGAACTCACAGAGATCCGCCTGCCTCTGCCTCCCGAGTGCTGGGATTAAAGGTGTGCGCCACCAACGCCCGGCTTCTGTGTGTGTTTTCTATGATGTGTGGGTAATCCTGCATCTGTTTCTCTTTTCTGTGTGGTGTGAGATGCTGTCTCTTGGGTGGGTGGTTTCATGGGTACGTGGTGCAGGCTATTGCACCTTCCTACAGTTATTGTATATCCGTGTCCTTTAGCATTCTATCCATTAACTCAATAGACATTTATTTATATTTTATTATTATTATTATTATTATTTGCTTATTCAAGACAGGATTCTGTGTAGCTTTGGCCGTCCTGGATTTGCTCTATAGACCTTGAATTCACAGATATCTGCTGATCTGTCTACCTCTGGCTCCCAAGTGCTGGGATTAAAGGCGAACACCACCACCACCTGGCCAATAGACATTTATTAAACACACACTCTGAGAAGCCAGGCATGGTGGCACAAGCCTTTAATCCCAGCACTGGGGAAGCAGAGGCAGGCAGATCTCTGTGTTCAAGGTCAGCCTGGTCCACAGAGTAAGTTCTAGGACAGCTACAGCAAAATCCATGCCTCAGAAACAAACAAGTAAACTAACAAAGCAACTCTGTACTGGGTTTCAGGGTTACACTTATACAAGATACAACAATCTTAGTCTTCACAGAATTGACTAACTCCAGATGGGGAACCAGTAGAGGAAAGAGCTCTGGAGAAGGGGGCATGCATGGCTTTCATGTACCTGTATATGAGCTGTGTTGGAAGGAATATGTATCTATTATTGGGTAGATATTGTGCACCACTGAGCATTCCTAGGTTTTGGAACTGTGCGTGTTAGGTGTTTGGTTTTGGGTTTGTTTGTTTGTTTTTTTTATATTTTTGAGTGTGCTTGCATTTGGTGAGTCTGTCTTTTCCAAATATATATTTGTATGACTGCAGAGTGTGAGTTTTTTAAAAAGGTTTATTTATTTATTATGTACACAGTGTTCTACTTGCTTGTATGACAGAAAAGAGCACCAGATCTCATTACAGATGGTTGTGAGCCATCATGTGGTGCTTGGAATTGAACTCAGAACCTCTAAGAGAACAGTCAGTGCTCTTAACCTCTAAGCCATTTCACCAGCCTGAGTGTGTGGTTTTATGTATATGTGTTTATGTACATTATGTGTGTCTGTTTGCTGGATATTTGCAAATATTTACTTATATTGTATGTGATTCTCTTTGCTAATTATGTGTTTGTAGTTTTCTTTTTTAAATTGTTATGTGGGTGCTGGGATTTGAACCAAGGTCTTCTGGAAGAGCAATCTGTGCTCTTAATCATTGAGCCATCTCTCCAGCCCCTGTAGTTTTATTTTTTACATTTTGCTGTTTTAAATTAGGTGTGTGTGTGTGTCTGTGTCTGTCTGTCTGTCTATACAGGTCTGTGGATATCAGTACAGTTGCCCTGTGAGGTCAGACTCCTCTGATCAGATCTCCTAGAGCTGGAGTTACAGGCAGTTGTGAGCTGCCTGACATGGGTGCTGAGACCTGAACTTGGGTCCTCTGCAAGGGTGGTAGTTCCCCTAACCACTAAGCAATCTCCCTAATCCCTACATGTGTTTTGGAGAATAGGTGAGTCTTTATTTGAAGAGTATGTCCACAGCACGTGTGAACACTTGTTTGCATCTGTCTGAGGAGTATGTATATGTAAAGATGTGCAGTGTTTTTTAGTGCATTTGTAGGATGTGTGTACACAAGTGTGTGTGCACAGCGCTGTCTCTGCTCATATTTCATGTGCATGTTTTTAGAGGGTATGCATCCATCCCTATAGAATATGTAATCACTACCAGGAGTGTGTCTCCCTTCCCTCTCAGGGCAAGGCAGGCTTTTTTATTTATTTTTTATTTATTTTTTTCCCTTCCAATATCTTCTTTATTTTTTTATTTTATTTTCCAGTTTAAATTTAGATAAGAAACAAGGTTGCTTCACAAGTCAGTTCCAGGTCCCTCTCCCTTTCCCTCCCCTCCTCCCGTGCCCTCCCCCCAACCCCCCCCCGTTATCCCCTCATTCCCCCAGGGAGGGTGAGGCCCTCCATGGGGGTGTCCATAGTCTGTCATTTCATATAGGGCAGGCAGGCTTTTTTTAAACTGCATTATAGATTTATTTGACATTTGAATGGAGTCCATAAGTCAGACCCATGTGTAACTGATTGCTTCATGGTTGTCAGAGGCTAGTGTACAGTATTTCCAAGGGTTACATCCAATGACACGATGCAGAAAATGCAAATGGATAGAAAGACAGATGTAATTATTAAGACAAGAGATGCTGGCCGGGCAGTGGTGGCACACACCTTTAATCCCAGCACTCGGGAGGCAGAGGCAGGCGGATCTCTGTGAGTTCGAGGCTGGGCTGGACAACAGCCTCCAAAACAATACAGAGAAACCCTGTCTCGTAAAACCAAAAAAAAAAAAAAAAGACAAGAGATGCTAAAACGTGTCCTAGTGTCCATGTGTTGATCTAAGGCAAGGCAAGGACCCTTCTAAATTGGGGACCCTAGTGATTGATCTAAAGCAGAGTGACTTACTGCCACTAGGCACTAACTATACTGTGTGAAAACCAGGTACCCTGTCAGAAACTAGCCTGGAACAAAAAACTGGGGAACCAAGGCAGCCATTTTTTTTGTTTTTTTTCCAGACAGGGTTTCTCTGTGTAGCTTTGGAGCCTATCCTGGCACTCACTCTGTAGAACAGGTTGGCTTTGAACTCACAGAGATCCTGCCTCTGCCTCCCCAGTGCTAGGATCAAAGAGGTGTGCCACCAATGCCTGGTATCCAAGGCAGGCATTTTTTAAATACTTAAATTATTTCTAGTATGTATTGGATTGGAGGGTATATGTGCACTTAACTGTAGGTGCCTGGGGAGGTCACATGCCTCTGATCACATAGAGCTGAGGATACAAGCTGTTGGGAACTACCCAATATGGGTGCTGGGAGACAACCTCTGGTTCTCTGCAAGAGCATCAGGCACTTTTTTTTTTGGAGACAGGGTTTCTCTGTGGCTTTGGAGGCTGTCCTGGAACCTGCTCTGTAGACCAGGCTGGCCTCGAACTCACAGAGATCTGCCTGCCTCCGCCTCCCGAGTGCTGGGATTAAAGGCGTGCGCCACCAACACCCGGCCGGCACTTCTTTTCATTTAAAATACAAATCATATTATGCATAAAGGTGTTTGGGCTGCATGTGTCTGTGCATCATGTTTGTGCCTGGTACCCACAGAGGCCAAAAGAAGATATCAGATCCCCTGGAGTCAGAGTTAGGAGTAGTTGTAAGCCACTACATGGGTGATAGGAATTAGACCCAGGTCCTACTCTGGAAAGAGCAGTCAGTGTGCTCTTGATGGATAAGACATCTTTCCAGGTTGTCGTGGAAGCTTAGCATATCTCTGACCCTAAGGCAGAGATGTATTTTTTGTCTGTTTTTTATTGATGAACTCCCATATTGCCAAATAATATTTTGCATTTGCACACAGAGCACGCTCAGTAAGTGTTGATCATTAAGTTAATGAATTGGTATCTTCCCCCAGGGAGGGATATCCCTATGTAGCCCAGACTGGACTGAACTCCTGCTTCTCTATCTTTCTGTGGGCAACAGTGACATCATGGAGGCCCCAGGAACAAAGTCTCACAGGATATAGCCTTTGTCTTGGCTGGACCACGGTGGTTGTGGTCATATTTATCTTGTTTGTGGGTTTCGCCTCCGTCATGACCCTGTGTGCACACACACACACACGCCGTCATCGCCTTTAGGATGTTCATATTTCAGCACCGTGGACAGGAGCACGAGGCCAGCACCAGGGACAGCTTTCCCAGCTGGGAACAAGGGTTCCGGAAATACAAGCCGTGGACAGACAAATAGAAAAAATAGACTCATTGAGATGGCTTCGTTGACCAACAAAGACAGAAAGACGTAAACAATAATAACACAGGCGAAGGTGTAGACATGAGAGTCAACCACCAAGAACACACTGACCCAGACCTCATTGTCGCCTCCGTTGTCCAGCAGAGGTCACTCTAGTCCGGAGACCCTGCCCTCCAAGCCCTTGGGTCAGCCACCCTAGGAAAGCCCTTCCCGCTTTGTCTAGGGCTCGGATGATGTCCTCTCAAACTCTGGTCTCAGCTGAATGAACTGGGGTGGAGCAAGAATCGCTCCATCTGCCCCCTCCCCAGCCACCAGCTAATCGCTCTTATAAACATATCCTGACCTGGTCTAACTCCTTAATCCTGACCATGAGGCAAAGACTGTGGAGGGGCTGCAGGACTTACGGGCCAAAGGAAGGAGGTCTGAGTGCAGACACACGTTTTTCTGGGGGGAAACTCCCATGAGGACCAGCCTCTTGCCTGAACACGTGACTCTGGAAGGATACATCTGTGGGGATCTAAGGGTACCCTGGGGTGGAGACAATTTCCCACAGAGAAGAGAATATGCCTTCAAGTGGTCCCATTTGGGGGACAGTGTCTTTAGGGTTCCCAAAGATGTCACCAATAGGATCTTTGAAAAAAATGCCTCTTCAGGAAGGGGAAAATTGAGATGAAATGTCGCCTTTCAGACACTATCTCTATTAGGAGTGATTTTCAGGGTGAAGGGACAGCTCTTCATGCAGATCACACCCTTGTGGGAATGTGTCTCCCGTGGGGGGCCGCTAGTCTGTTGAGAATAGCTCCCTTGGGGATCTCTCTTGGGTTAAAGGGTCTGCGCAAGAGAATGTCTCGATAG